GGAAGAAAGAGGAAGAGGAAGAGGGAGAGAGAACAGGGGTGTTGCTTTATTGCCTGGGCTAGAATGCAGTCTAAAACTGGGTATGCCTGTAATTGTGTTTAATAATAGAGACATTAAAAAAAAAAATGAGGGAAGAAAATAATTAACAAGCAGCCAACCAATATTTCACTTAAACCTGTAAATATGTGTGATGTAGTACTGATAAGAGTGTATATTTTGTGTATTTAAAGTGGAGAGTTCTATAAATGTTAATTAAATCTACTTGTTCTGGATCTGAGTTCAAGTCCTGAATATCGATGTTAACTTTCTGTCTCATTGATCTGTCTAATATTGATGTTGAAGTCTCCCACTATTCTTGTGTGGGGGTCCAAGTCTCTTTATAAGTCTTATGTATCTGGGTATTTCTGTATTGGGTGCATATATATTTAGGATCTTTAGCTCTTCTTGTTACATTGATCCTTTTATCTTTATGTAATATCCTTCTTTGCTTCTTTTGATCTTCGTTGCTTTGAAATCTATTTTATCAGCAAAAATTGCAACTCCTGCTTTCTATTTATTTATTTTTGCTCTCCATTTGGTTGGTAAATTTTTCTCCATACCTTTGTTTTGAGTCTTTGTGTATCCTTGCATGTGAGGTGGATCTGGATGTAGCATACCAATGGGTCTTGGCTTTTTTTGCCTGTCTGTGTCTTTGGATTGGGGGATTTAGTCGATTTAAATTTAGAATTAATAACAATATATGTGTGTTTGATACTGTCATTTAATGTTAGCGGGCTGTTTTGCCCATTAGTTGATGCAATTTCTTAATTATGTTGATGTTCTTTATTTTTTGGTATTTTTTAGAAAGGCTGATACTGGTTGTTCCTTTCTATTTGTAGTGGTTCTTTCAGAAGCTCTTGTAAAGCAGGCCTGGTGGTGATGAAATCTCTGAGTGCTTGCTTGTTCACAAAAGATTTTATTTTTCCTTCGCTTATGAAGCTTAGTTTGGCTGGATGTAAAATTCTGGGTTGAAAGTTCTTTTCTTTAAGGATGTTGAATATTGGCCCCCACTCTCTTCTGTCTTGTAGGGTTTCTGCTGAGAGATCTGCTGTGAGTCTGATGGGCTTCCCTTTATGGGTAACCTGACCTTTCTGGCTGCCCTCAGTATTTTCTCTTTTGTTTCAACCCTGGTGAATCTGGCGATTATGTGCCTTGAGGTTGGTCTTCTTGAGGAATATTTTTGTGGTGTTCTCTGTATTTCCTGGAGTTGAATATTGTCCTGCCTTGCTAGGTTGGGAAAGTTTTCCTGAATAATATCCTGAAGCATATTTTCCAGCTTGGATTGATTCTCTTCGTCACATTCAGGTACACGTAGATTAGGTATCAAGCATAGATTAGGTCTTTTCACATAGTCCCATATTTCTTGGAGACTTTGCTCGTTCTTTTTTATCCTTTTTTCTCTAATCTTGTCTTTTTGTTTTATTTCATGAAGTTGTTCTTCGACCTCTGATATCTTTTCTTCTGCTTGATCAATTCGGCTGTTAAAACTTGTGCATAGTTCGCGAAGTTCTCGTGTTGTATTTTTCAGCTCCATTAATTCACTTATATTCCTCTCTAAATTGTGTGTTATTGTTAACATTTCGTCAAACCTTTTTTCAAAGTTCTTAGTTTCTTTGCATTGGGTTAGAACAAGTTCTTTTAATTCCCAGAAGTTTCTTATCAACCACTTTTTAAAGTCTGCTTCTGCTAATGGAACACAGTCTTTCTCCATCAGGCCTTGTTCTGTTGCTGATGAGGAACTGTGATTCCCCTGCAGAGGGAGAGGCATTCTGATTTTGGGTATTCTCAGCCTTTTTAGGCTGGTTTCTTCCCTTAGTATAAATTTATCCATCTGTGGTCTTTATAATTACCGTCTTTATAGTTGGGTTTCTGAATGGACGTCCAACTTGTTGATTCCCGGCGCTAGAATCTGAGCAACCCACTGTGCCGGCCAAAACAGCGGCTTTAAGATTGATGGTGCTTTTCTGACTGGGCACCAAGAACCGCCACACCAAGGCAGCGGCAAAACCGCCTCACCGGCCTCAAGAGTCGTGCCGGCGACACGTGGGGCTCCTCCGCTGGGAATCTCCTGGTGGGTGAGCAACAAAAATTGATCTGAAAGTGTGGCGTCCTCTCCTTCTCTGCTGCAATCCCGAGCTGCTAGTGATCAGCCATCTTGGATCTCTCTCTGGAATTATTTTTTAAAGTAAAACAGAGAAATGAAATGGGAGCTGCAGAAGGTTATAAAGTGAATGGAGACATTTAAAAAATGATGTTTACGTGCTGATGGGAGTGATTGAGTAAACAAGGGAAAATTAATTTTATAGGAGAAAGAGAATGTGGACAGTTGTTGGGAACATTTTTTTTTTTTTTTTTTTTTGAGACAGAGTCACGCTATGTCACCTAGGCTGGAGTGCAGTGGTGCGATCTCGGCTTAATGTGACTTCCGCTTCCCAGGTTCAAGCGATTCTTCTGCCTCAGCCTCCCGAGTAGCTGGGAATAAAGACATGCTGTTGCAAAATTGTCTAAAGTGCTGTGCATGTGTGCCTATGTGCACCACGCCCGGCTAATTGTTGTATTTTTATTAGAGATGTGATTTCACCATGTTGGCCAGGCTGGTCTCTAACTCCTGACCTCGTGGTTCACCCGCCTCAGCCTCGCAAAGTGCTGGGATTACAGGGATGACCACTGTGCCCGGCCAGGAGCATGTATTCTTTGATGAGTGGTCCTTCTGTAGCACTGTACACAGCACTAAGGGAAGACTTTTCTGTCTTTACTTTTATAGCCCCAAACTCTCACTTGGCTGGGTGTCCCTCTTACCAGCCCTCATTTAACTGTGTGGTATTATTGTTACCTCTGCACTTGCCCCTTTCAAAGTATGACCCCTTGTACTTAAAAACAGACCCTTTTAGGTCCAGCTGTGTCTTGATCCAAAGAACCACACTTAGCAGAGTATGTTAGTTTTAGAGACCTATAGGAGCTTAACATAATACCAAAACCACACCTTTTTGATAATCTTGGACTATACAACAGAAGGCAAGAATTATAATAGGGTCTCACAAACCTTCTCCCACCCACCATGATGAACTATCTGTAGATCCTTCATGACTCTTAAGAATTCTCCCAAGTGTTGAGTTGTGAGTAGCCTGCACATAATGGCATTCAATTCTGAGAATAGTTACTCAGCTCTGAGCATCCAGCCTGTTTCTCACCATTGGCATTTCTGGTGGCATTGTGGCCTCTGTCACTCACACACTGGATTGCCTTACCTTTGAATCTGTCCATTTAATTCTCATTTCTGCCTTTTCTGTCACAGGGTTAGAGTTATGGTAATGAAGAAATGCTCTGTCCTTAGCCAGAGGTTGATGTAAGTTAAAAGATGTTGTAAGCCATAAAACAAACAATCAGGCAGATATTAGTTATCATTGTTATCTTCAGAGCTCAAGGTTTATATTTCTGTCTGCATTTTCAAGGCTTTAGATCAGAGTTTTAAAATTAGGGCCAGACCTTTTTTTGGGGGGGTCGGAGATTCGCTCTTGTTGCCTGGCCTGGAGTGCAATGGTGCAATATCGGCTCACTGCAAACTCTGCCTCCTGGGTTCAAGCAGTTCTCCTGCCTCAGCCTCCTGAGTAGCTGGGATTACAGGCATGTGCCCCCATACCCAGCTAATTTTTGTATTTTTTAGTGGAGATGGGGTTTCACCACGTTGGCCATGCTGGTCTTGAACTCCTGACTTCAGGTGATCTACCTGCCTCGACCTCCCAAAGTGTTGGGATTACAGGCATGAGCCACCATATCTGACCAAGGCTCAGAACCTTGAAACCACTTGCTAGGGTGTTTGTAGACTGGAGTGGCAACTATTGTGAAATTGTCCAAAGTGCTATGCATGTGTGCCTATGTGCATTCATCCACCCACTCATAAAAATATTTGTAAATGCTTGCTATGTTTTAAGATGTGTTTGAGGGAGTTTGTGCTGCTCAGTTTTTAAAGAGAGGGAACCCTTTGGTAGTTACAAAATGAAAAGAATAGACATCCACTCTGAGTAGTTCTGGATCATTTTTGGTGTTCTTTTTTCAAGTATATCTAGTAAAATACCAGGCTGAGCTGCACACTTGCAGTGAGACAAGATGGAAGACTGAGAATTCAGCCAGCTCAGGACACATCTTTCTTGCCTTTGCAGAGGTTCTCTAGCACGCCAAGATCTTGGCATGACCTACCTGGAAAACTCCTCCTCTAGCCAATGCAAAATAAAAAAAAATGTGATTCCTTAGCTTTTTCTGTCATAAAAATTGAGAGGCAAATGTTTTTCTTTTAAATGAGTTTTCTGTTTTAGCAAACAGAAGCTATTATTTATAGCTTAGTTAAATGTTTTAAATTGGCAAACCTCTGTACCTCTTTCCTATAGAGATTAGTTCCTGGAGGGAATTATGAAAAAAATCAGTTAATGATAATCATATAGTGGACTTTCCAGAGATGGGAAACTTATTTTGGATACCCACTGGTAGGTAGAAGTCTGACCTTTGCATATAGTTCCAGATGTACTACAGAGAGGATGGTGGTGTATGCCATCAGCCTTGTTGTTTATAAATATTAGTGAAGTGGTCTGAATGCTTTAATAAAAACAAATGTATCAAATGGGTAGGCCTGTCTTTATAGTTTTGGATTAAAAAAAAATCATACATTCATATATTCTTTTCATACTTTTAAGAAACAAAACGGCAGTACTGCTACATTATAATTTTATTGTACACTTAAAATCCAGATTTAAAAAATTCTAATTGTGCTTTTTAGTAACTAATAATTTAAGAACTCTTTTTGATCCTCCCCTACTTTTCCAACCTTCTTTTCTTGCCTAATGTTAGGAAAACCAAATTAAAGATGCCTGCATTTTGAACAGGTTGAACTTGTGGCCTTGGCTATAATTGTCACTTCATCATCTATTTTTGATTTTAATCTTATTATTATAACTTTCTTTTTACAGACTGGTGAATTTTCAGCTCGTTTTCTTTTGAAGTTGCCAGTGGATTTCAGCAATATCCCCACATATCTCCTCAAGGTAAAAATATATGATTATCAGTATGAGACTATAAGTAAGCTTTTAAAGTAATTATTTAACTCAATATTTGTGTGACTGGTTTGTCAGCATTTTGTTCACATGATGAATTCTACTAAAAATATTTCTTATATGAAGTTCCACTGAGCTATTTTGTTTTCTAAAAGCTAAAATAGTAACTTTAAAAGTTATTTAGAAGTGAGTTTTCCATATAAAATTTCTATTATAAGTGAATTAAACTCTGGGAAAAAATCACTTTTATTTAATAATGTTATTGGGATGAAAGACTCTCATATAAATTGTCTAATATGAAATATTAGGGCTGCATATTAGCCACCACTCCATTCTACAAACACCCTAGCAAGTGGCTTCAAGGTTCTGGCCCTTGGCTGGGCATGGTGGCTCACACTGTAATCCCAGCTCTTTGGGAGACTGAGGTGGGCGGATCACCTGAGGTTAGGAGTTTGAGAGCAGCCTGGCCAACATGGTGAAAACCCATCTCCACAAAAATATACAAAAATTAGCCAGGCATGGTGGCACGTGCCTGTAATGTCAGCTATTCGGGAGACTGAGGCGATAATATTCGGTAGGTAGCACTGCATATTAACCACGCTGCACTAAAGGGTGTTTCATTTTCTTTATGTTAATAGTTGCTCTCAGGCACCTTCAGAGTTAGACTGTCCAGAAGAGACCCAGAATCCATTTAGAACAGCGTACATGACATTCCTTAAAATATGATGCAGGCAAAGTGTGGCCTGGGGAACAGCTGTTTTGGGGAGAGGCCTGAAAATGCTTTGCAGAGAAGTAGCATCCAAGTCACTCGGCCGTGGTTGGTGTGAGAGAAAGTATAAATGGACTAGGAAGCAAGTTCTGAAAAGGGAGCTTTAAGACAAAGGCCTAGGTTCATCATAGATGAGGATTTGGTTGTGATTTAAGATTTGGCTGCCTTCCTCTGCCCTGTATTTGAGCCTATGGTTGTTTAATTGCAATCTCGTGTAAGAAAAATTTCTACCTTCCTAATTTGATGTTGTTCAGAGAGTTAATGGTGTTTATAACTGCGTAGAGAAAAGACAGGATCTTTGTACAAGTTCGCCTGCATATTGTACTAATTAGTAAATAATATTAGATATTAATTTTGATAATAGTCGTAGGTATGATTTAGTAGAATATAAACTATAGACCATAGAGAAGATTGGAGAATTTTTTTTTTAATAAATTTCATCTTTTTTTTTGTTTTGGAGACATGGCCTTGTTCTGTCACCCAAGCTGGAGTGCAGTGGTGTGACCATAGCTCACCCCAGCCTCAAACTCCCAAGCTACAGTGATTCGCCCACCTCAGCCTTCTGAGTAGCTGGGACCACAGGCATGCACAACTGTGCCTAATTTTTAATTTTTTGTAGAGAAAGGGTCTCAGTGGTCTTCCCACCTCGACTTCCCCAAATGTTGGGATTACAGGTGTGAGCCACTGTTCCTGGCCTATACAGTCCATCTAAAGAAGAAAATTATTTTCTTTTTCTCTAAGTAAAACACAGGATTTTTATACTTCATTAAAAACTTAGTTTCCAGTTTACTAGTTCTACATTCTTTACCCAAGGGTTGTAAAGTCCAAGTAAGAATGGAAGTCATCAATTTCTGTCAGTTTCTCTACAGTCCTGTTGTGGAAAATATATATATTAGATCTGTGATTACCAAGCATAATTAATTTGATTTTGGCAATTACTATGCTCTATTAGACTAGTAAGCAGTCTTCTAAGAAACCCTTGTAGCACATACTCAGGACCTCCTCCATGTATTCCAGTTAAAACTCTCCTTCAGCCCATTTAGAGCCAAGTTCAAAAGCAAATGAAAGTACATGATTTATATAATCACCTTAATCCACATTTTACAGTTAGTGTTTTTGTTTTAATTTATTGTGCCTTATCAGTTTCAGCAGTCTTCCTGTTTATTTGCAATTGATGTTGCCTCTGCTCGTATTCTTGAGGGTCAAAGGAAAAAAAAAATTGTTGGCTCATAATCTCATATTTATCTCCTCAGTATCAAATTACCATATTTTTTATTTTAAGAATTCTAACTTTATATGCTGTTCTTATTTTCCTTGACAGTAAGTTAAGAGAAGGGTGGAATCTATTTGCCAAAACTGTAAAGTTTTTTAACCCCCACATTACTGTGAAATGATGTCTCTTCTATAGATAAAATATCTACATGGCAACACTAATGTCTTTCTGGATCTTTTGAGTTCATGCAAAAAGAGTAAAACAACAAGGACCAAAAAGGAGAAACTCTTGTGTAACACAAAGCAACAGCCAAAAAAACAAAAACAGAAACCTACCAGCACACCAGAAACAATCCAGAATACTTGCTGAGGGTTTTAAGATGTACATTCCTAAAGTTGTTGTAACCTTTGGCTTTGCTTTTCAAAGGAAGCTTGCCTTAGGTGCTGCTTTACATATTATTGGCGTTCGGATGCTCCTCATCTAATCGCTAGGCCTGTAACTGAGAATCTAACTACAAAAATAAACCTCCTGAATTCCTAGGGTTAGGATACTATTCACCAGCATCGGTAGTTTTACCTTATCATTTCAAGCAAATAAAAGGGAAAGTAGAACTTTAAAATATTGAGATAGCATGGAGTTTGACTGCATACCCTATTGATTTGCTACAGTGAAATTTCATTACACTATGATGAAGTCATCATCTACTCATAAGTTCATATTACCAAGTGTACCTATTTTACCCACTAATAGAATTATTTTACGTTAAAATGAAAAAGCCATTCAATATTCAGTTATATGATTTCCCTTAATATTGTACTGTAAATTCGTATGGTTCTTACAGGGGATAGAGTGAATTTATTCTGAAGATGAAGCCTGATTTTAGAGTCTGAATTTTACTTTTGGTTGAGGTAAATCAAAGGGTCAGATGAATCACTAACATAAAAACAAAAAATATTTCTGTATTTGTTACTGTTCTTATTTTGGAGGTGGTAGGAATCCAGCATGAGCTCATGTAGACCAGATGAGAAATTTAATAAGATCTTCTTCTGAAGTCTGTATGACAGGAAACAGTCTATACTTAGTACTTTACAGATAAGGCATAGACCAACTTTCTTATGTCTGTTCCACTGTGTTCAGTTGTGTACTCCTGAACTTCTCAACTGGTGTATTTGTGGGGAGAAATCATCCCCATCATAAAGAGGAGATTACAGAAATTATCAAAGTGCAAGTATTCACGACAGTTACCGAACCGAAGAAGGATGGTTTTATAATTGTATACTTTCTCTTAACGAACAGCTAGTCATTAGATGCTGCTGCTCTTAATTTTCTTAGAGTGTGGTGAAAATTAACATACACTGAGCTGCATGTGTATTCCCGTGTTTATTTCTGTCCTGAGAATTAGTGAACTTAACAATGTGATGTTAAGAAGGCTATGTTTTTGTTTTTGCTTCTGTTTTCTGTAAAACCATACTTCATAAAGAAGTAGTTAAAGAAAAGGTTTGAATTGTCTACTAAAATTTTTATTCTCTGAACAAGAAGCTCAGAAACTGAGAATATAGTATTTTGGGGGAGAGGAGAGGCTTACTTTTAAATGTGATGTGTGTTTGAATTGGTCACTTAGAATAATAAGCCAGTTTTATATAGAATATAGTGAAGTTAAAATCCTAGAGCTAGGAACCCCTTCAGTAGCATCATACAAAAATATGGAGGCAAATTGTTGGATCCCACTGAACTGGAGGGTTAAATAGCACTGATTTCCTACTGATCGTGGATATGGCAAATATAACCCTGCAAAGAAAGTCAACATTAACTCTTTTTTGTTATGTAAGAAAAGACCATATTGTTTATGTAGGCTAAATTGTTGTTGGAATATCTCTAAACTAGAAATCACTGAGCCCTAGCCCAGGCTAGAAGTAGGGCTATAACCATTTACTATGACTGAAGTACTTGGACTTCTATTATCATTATTTAACATCAAACACTGAGCCCATTCATCCTGATGGATAGCTTGTAGAAATTTAGTTGCACTATGGAATCTGAATCATGACACTACATGGAAATGAATTGGGTGTGAAAAAGCTAAAATAGGTTATTTGTATCAAGAGCTGAAGCACTCATCCTTCTTCTGAAGTCACTGTGGTTGTACTGATCAGTCAGGGCACAATCAGTGCAGACCTCAGGTCACTCTGCCAAGCAGAGGCAAAAAGTAGGAATTCGGTTCAGAGTATTAAGACGTGTTCAGGAGTCTAGGATTGGCAGAGGGTTGTGACTAGGTAACTATACAGTGGTCTAAGCAGATCACTAATATGGAAGAGAGCATCTGAGTATCCTTGTGTGCTGAGGTTATCTGATGTCAGAGCAGTCTCTTCAGCCTGACATTGGACAGCAGGTTACCTACTTATAGTTTGCTTTCTAATCAAACCTTGTAGCAAATGCAGATATTCACAGAGCCAGGCAAGTACTGAAAAGGAGTGAATCTGACTTGATACCATAGGAAATGGTAGGCACTGTAATGAACTAGCATATATGTGCTTCATCTAAAGGCAGCAGCTACTATACAGCTACAGAGTTATTTTCCATTTGATAATTTGGGGCTGGTGTTGCCAGATATCCAGATGTTAACAGAAGGAGCCCAGAATCTCAGGGTTTGTTGTTGTTGTTAATATGAAAAACTGTCTTTTAAGTGATAGCAATGATAGATGTTGTTTGCTCTAAAACCTGACGGTCTTGTAACCAGGTAGGTGGCAGAAGACCCTTATTCTCTTTCCTTGATTTATACTATATAGTGTGGTATTCAGGGAGATCTTACTATGACCCAGTGGATAAGAGAAGGAGAACCTTGAACTGGAATTCCACTCAGTGTCCTGAGCTGTTTGTCAGAACTGCAACAGAGTGCCCAGAATGAGTTTGGCTTGGTTTTTGAGTACAGTACCGTGCAGAACACGTAAGTACTGATTTTGCCATAAAATGAAACAACAAAAAAGAAATTCAAGTATCATCATTGTCCTC